TAAGTGGCTGAATACACGAGAAGAAAAAAATACAGTTGTCAGTAGGTTTGCTGGTACATGCAGAAGCGTTCCAAGAGTATTCTATGGTCGAAAGCGGATAATCATTATAGTGTTATTCCTTTGGGTTCCGAGTGGAACATATGGATTCAGCAGCACATCTCCACTTTTTTTTATTTTCTGCTGTCCTCTTCAGCTTGGCTCACGATTGCCTATATAATCTCTCATCTCCCCCATTCGTCGCTTCCCATTTGTATTTTACTTAAAGATTCGGAGCATGATTTCATACATATTTGTTGGGCAATCGGCCCTTGGTTAGTTTGTTGCTATAGAGTTACTTGTTACTTAATCTTTCTGGCCGACTAGCGGTTTGATCTTCAACACAGAGACAGCGAAGCAGGCAACTGTTGATGAAAGGCTCTAACTTGTTGGAAATACTTTTCATGATGCACACGCCAAGTTTCTGACCCGTATAGAGGAACTGTCAGACTTCACATTTGTGTTGAAAATCCGAATCATGTCCTTGATGCTGGCTGAGTGTAGAAGATTTACAAACTGGTTTCAGGTTGATTAAGGTGTCTGTGATAGGATCCCACATATTTTGGTATTGACTGTTAATCTTGCATATATGGTTTGTTATCATTCTCACACATTTTGGTATTGACTGTTAATCTTGTATATATGGTATATTATCATTCTCACACATTTTGGTATTGACTGTTAATCTTGCATAAATGGTATATTATCATTCCCACACATTTTGTTATTGACTGTCAATCTCGCACATATGGTATATTATCATCTCTCACGCACTTTGTTATTGGCTATTAAGATCAATTATTTCAAATGCTGTTAGCTGTCCATATTGTTGTAAAATGTATAAATACCATGGCTTTCTTTGTCGTTGTTGCACTCCAATACACAGTCACAGTCCAGCCTTTGTCTTTTGATATTTGCGTGCTTTACTAAATCGGAAGGTACGACAAGCAGATAGGCAGATTAGTTCAGGCGCAGACAGAACAAGGTGAAAACGTCTTCCTTGAATTCCCTACAGTTATAACAAATTGGCGACGGGGTTTACCTTAATTCAGTGCAGTTATAACAAATTGGCGACGGGGTTTACCTTAATTCATTGCAGTTATAGCAAGCAAACGACGACAGTTTTTATTCTGTTCAGCGCAGCTATATAACATTTTTGACTGTGTTAATTACAACCCAATTACAATGTCTATCTCTCTGGACGATCTCAAATCTATCTTGCAGCAGCAGCAAGTTCAGAATGAAGCAGCTCAACTAAAATTAATCGAAGCTCTCACTCAGAAGCTGTCCATTCAAGTTCCATCAACATCTCATTCTGACAAATATGAAAGCATCTCAAATTCCATCAGTGAGTTCAACTACGACCCAATATCTGGTCTCGTATTTGATGCATGGTTCAATCGTTACGAAGACGTCTTCCGTATTGAATGCTACATGTTTGATGATGCTGCCAAAGTCCGATTGTTACTAAGAAAACTTGGTACTGTTGAGCACAACAGATATGTTAACTTCATTCTGCCTAAGAACCCACGTGAGTTATCATTCGATGAGACAGTCACCGTTTTATCACAAATCTTTGGTGAACAGTCATCCATGTTTAATATTCGGTATCAATGTTTTCAGTTGACAAAAATGCCTTCCGATGATTATGTCACTTACGCTGGCAAAGTGAACAAGGAATGTGAAAGGTTCAAACCACACGAAATGACATCAGATCAGTTCAAGTGTTTGATTTTTATTTGTGGGTTGAAGAACCCAGAAGATACTGACATACGAACTCGACTTCTGTCACTCGTGGAACAAGACCCGAAAATGACTTTACAAATGGTGACAGCAGAATGCCTACGTTTAATCAACTTGAAGCACGATACTGCTATGGTGGAGTGCAAACGACAGTCGTCTGAATTTGGTTCGATTAACACAGTGAAAAGTCCTCCGATCACCGTTAAGCACACAGAACGTCAGTCTCAAAATTCAGCTAAACCTCCTTCAGTGTGCTGGCACTGTGGTTCGTGGCATTTTGTCAAGTTCTGTCCTTTCAAGAAGCATAAATGCCGTAATTGTCACCGTTTTGGACATAAGGAGGGTTACTGTCCACCGCAGAAAAATCCTTCGGTGAGGAACAGAAGTAGTCGTTTCAAGCCGAAACAATCTCCTCGAGTACAGACCATTTTCACAACTTCCAAAGTCGAGTTCGCCAGCAAACGTAAGTACATAACACTAGATATTAACGGCAAACGTATTCGTCTTCAGTTGGATACGGCATCAGATATCACCGTAATTTCCCGAACTACGTGGCGCAAACTTGGTTGCCCACAGATTCTGCCGACCGAGCATGTCGCCAAGAATGTCTCTGGAGATATACTGAAACTCGTGGGTGAGATAAATTGCCAGGTTCAGTTTGGTGAGCATCACTTCAATGGTGTATGTTACGTTACAAACTACCATGATTTGAATTTGCTTGGTCTTGACTGGTTAGACAAGCTCCATATCTTTAATGTACCATTAAATTCAGTATGCTCTAATGTTTCGTCTTCACCACACAACGTTGTTCCCGGAGATGTATCTGATCAATCTCTCTTGCAACGCCGTCGTCAAAAGCACGCTTCTGTCTTCCAGGACAAACTTGGTTGCTGCAAACTGTTTGGCATCCAGCATATTCGTAGCCCCCCGTATCATCCCCAATCGAATGGACAGACTGAACGTTTCGTCGACACCTTTAAGCGTGCTTATGCAAAAGCGAAGGGGGAGGGAACAACAGAAGAAATTTTGGATAAATTCTTGCTGCATTATCGTACGAATGAAAAAGGACAGTTATGTGTCAGACACACAGATCACGCTCTATCCAGTACCACGCAAAGGTCAACTCGACAAAGAAGAGCTCCGAAACCTTTTCAAATAGATCCAAAAAGCAAGTCCTACACTCTTTACGGGGAGAGGTGATAGGATCCCACATATTTTGGTATTGACTGTTAATCTTGCATTGAGCGAAGACAGCTAGCCGTTGATGAAGGTCTGTAGTTTGTTTGAGACGCTCTTTATGACGCGCTGGTCAAGTCTCTGATCCGTATCGTGAGTAGCACTGACTGGCTTCACATTGGAGTTGAAGATCCGAATGTTATTTTTGATGGTGAGTGGTGTTGACCTCCACACAGACTTGAGAGTAATGAAAGCTTGTCTTGCTTTTCCGATCCTGGCTTTGATGTTCTCGTCAGTTCCGTCAGCCTGTATTTGAAACGATGCTTCACAGGTAGGTGGGTAGGTGAAGGAGGTTGTTTCTTTCAGGTCCCTCCCATTTATGCTGGCTGATTGTGGTCTGCTGTTGATGTTATTGTTGTGGCTGTTGGTGTGGGCCAGGAATCTTCATCACCTCTATTTTATCTATGTTCACCTGAAGTCCTTGCTATCTTTGATGCTTCTTCTGTCAGCTTGTTGATGTCGTAACTAAGTGAATATTACTTTGGTGTTCAAAAAGATGAATTGTATTCAAGTTTCAGTGGGTCACTATCAAAATACAATCCATCTGTACAATTTTTATCTAGATCTCGCCAGCATTATGGATTCTCATGCTTACCACTACGAACCAAATAATCTTTTCATGGTTATAGTACCACCATGGCTAGCTAGGCACGACAGACGTAATCCGTCCAGTATTTTAAACTGATCTTCTCGAATGATATTATCAAGTAATGTTCCCGTAGCTCAAATCTATTAAATAATAAAATGTATTTTAGACAAAGCTACCGCTGAAGTGATAGTAGAACTTTGCTTAGTTCAAGTTATCTATCTCTTTATGGTTGATTTAAGTTATTTATTCTACAAATTAATTAAATTTCGATATGGTGTCTCATTGGGTAAATGACAACTTATTTCTCCGTTAATTTTAATTTGAGCCATCTGTGTGAACTACTGATACGTTGCATACTATAACAAACATCATGACGCAACGATATTTTCAGACGATATTTCTTCTTGTAGAAATTAAATTTCGGACCAATAAATCAAAAGTACGCAGTGATAAGAATACATTCTACTTTCAAAATAAGTCTTTGTACATTTGAAGAGGTTAATGCTTCTGAGAAAAATAATAACCTCGGGTTCAACAGTATGCAACATTTTATGATGGATAGCACTCCTAAGTTTTGTGGAAGAGTCACCTATTAATTCAAATATCTATTTTGTAACCCGTGGGGAATCTCGCTTGACTGTCTGTCCATATGAATTAGCTTCAGGAAACTGGAGACAAAACAAAATTTCATGGATTAAGTATTGCTGATTAACTAGTGCATAGAATCAATGTGGTGGGGTAAATTAACTATACCATATTAGTGGCTGGCCAGCCACTTTTATTCCACCACCCACAAACTCAATTAGAAACAAACTTTGTCGTTTAAAGGATCCTTCCAGTGGAGCCTTTAAAACAAAACAATTTAATTTATCTTATACCCTGCATTGATTGTGAGGTCAAATACACAGGTAAAACTAGTAGAACAGGGACCGTCAGATTAGCTGAACATAAAAACCTAGCAAAATCTAGATTGGTTAACCCAAATAAGATAAGAAGTCTAGAGAATAGTTCAGCTATAGCACTACATGCAGTTACACACAACCATACAATAGGATGGGATAGAATGACAGTTTTAAAATCTAATGTCACAGGATGGAGGAAGAGATTGATAACAAAAGCTTTGTTTATCGAATCAACTGCAAATACATGTAATAGAAATGACTCAACACCTGTCCACCCAGATATCTGGAAAATTCTACTACCCCAATGATGACAAATAGGAGGAAACAAAGAAAACTATAAAACTGAAGTTTCAAAGTCGAGTGATTACAATTGATATGATTATGAAGAATAAATTTTGTTCGAAACTGTACCATCCAGTAAATAATGCTGTTTCCCTCACTGTGTGATATATCTAATAAACAAACTAATATGGAATTACTTACTACCACAGTGCCCAAGTTTTACACATATATAAATTAACTATACGTTCTGTAGACGATTTAATGTAAAACACAAAGAGAGAATTATAAGATAAGGTATTTTACTGCATTTAAATAGGAGAAAAACAAGAAACACATGCTTATAATGTGATACAGACTTTTGGATGATGTATATACATAATATTCTTTATTTTATATAGCGCTGTAAGTTTATCAGTGCATAATAGTTTAAATATAACATAATCAAAGACAATATTGAAATAAAGGTTCGTCTTATAAGTGAATGAATACATAAATAAAAAGATAAAATAATACGACTAATTAATCTATTTCTCTATCATCCACTTGAACTGTTTCAGCGCCGACCTCTTCATAATCTTTTTCCAAAGAGGCTAAATCTTCACGTGCTTCACTGAATTCGCCTTCTTCCATTCCTTCACCAACATACCAATGGACAAAAGCATGCTTGGAATACATCATATCAAATTTATAAGTAAGTCTAGCCCATGCTTCAGAAACAGCTGTAGTATTGCTTAGCATACATGCAGCTCTGTTGACCTGTGCTAGGTCACCATTGGGTACAACAGTTGGTGGTTGATAATTTATACCAACTTTAAATCCAGTGGGACACCAATCAACAAATTGTATTGTACGTTTTGATTTAATAAAACTAATAGCAAAATTTACATCTTTTGGAACAACATCACCACGATAGAGTAGACAGCATGCCATATATTTCCCGTGTCTTGGATCACATTTCACCAATTGATTAGATGGTTCAAAACATGCATTTGTTAATTCACCTACACTAATTTGTTCATGATATGCTTTATCCGCCGACAGCATTGGTGCATATGTTACCAATGGGAAATGAATACGTGGATATGGGACTAGATTAGTTTGAAATTCAACTAAATCCACATTCAATACACCTTCGAAGCGTAATGATGCTGTAAATGAGCTAACAATTTGTCCAACAAGTCGATTTAAATTTGTGTATGTCGGTCTTTCAATCCCAAGATTTCGACTAAGTTGATAAAGAGGGGAGAAAACCACAGAATATATTTGACGGATTTATATTTAAATTAATAATCATAATGTAAAGAAATAAAGGATGTAATTTCAATTTCCACTTTCGCAATCCCCTTCTTATCCTGTGATAAATCTTATCAGATAAATATTTTGAAAAATTTTGAAAAATTTAGACGCATAACATGCACAAAACCATCATATTTGAAGTTTCGCGAAGAACCCCTGAGAAGTCATCGTATAAAGAAATATTCCAATAAAAAGGAACAGAGAAAGTCAGAATAAAATACGTCACAAGTATTTACAGCATTAAAAATAAGATGCGGATCTTCAACTCCAATGTGAAGTCAGTCAGTGCTACTATACGGATCAGAGACTTGGCGAACGCGTCATACAGAGCATCTCAAACAAACTACAGACCTTCATCAGCGGCTAGCTGTCTTCGCTCAATACTCAAGATCACATGGACGGCCAGAAAAGATCACCAACAAGGTGGGATCTCTGACAATGAGCGAGCGAAACAAACCAGGAACCGATTGTGAAACAAATAGGCAGGAAGAAATGGAGGTAGGTGGATTGGCCATACGCTGAGGAAAGAAACCATCAAGTGAGTGACATCACTAGACAAGCCATCGCTCGAGTGGAACCCGATAGGGAAGCGGGCGGCGAGTTGGTCGTCAGTACAAGGGTGACTTGGAGGAGATCATGTGAAGAGGAGATGAAAGCATGTGGGCAGACTTGGAGAGGGGTGAATAAATTGGCAGAAACCCGAAGGCAATGGAGATACGCAGCTGAAGCCCTATGTTCCTCTAGGAATTAAAGGATATAATAATAATTTACAGGTCGCTTCATATTGAATCTGAATTCAAAGGGGTCTGTTAACTGACTAAACGTTATTTACATATGGATTTCCTTTGTGACCGATTCTTCACTAATGAACACAAATAGAAAAGTAGTATGAATAACTGGTGAATGCAGTGCTACAAAGAAAACGATCAATTTGACAAAGGAGGTAGCAAAGACTTGACTTCAGATGAACGTAGAAAGGTAAAAGGTGGTGTAGACATCCAGGCCGTAACAAATAACATCAATCACCATCAACAAGAAGAATCTTATAAAAGTCATCTCTTTCATTAATGTGTACCGCATCGTTTCAACTACAGACAGGCATTCATTGCTGTAAAATCAGCGTCCGTCACAATGGACACTATTGTTAGTGCCTTTTATGGTCCAGAGACTTGGTGGATTAGTCACATAAACCGATTTCAACAGGATGCTAGACTTTAATCAACAGGTATCTTCACTGTCAATATAGTGGGGACAAGATAAAAGCTCAGACAAAATAAACAGCAGATAACTCGGACAGACGGTGAGCCAGCCGATAGTCTATTTTTCAACAAATTTGCGTATGGAGATGTAGACGAATCGATAAGAGACACTAATGAGACTGTTGACTGACATCATACATGAGGCCGTGGATGTGGACTGATAGGCTAGGTGTCCGAATGTTAAATGGAAATCGCAGGAAGAGGAGACTGAAGCTTGTGGGCAGTCATGGAGCCAGCTGAAACGGTTGGTAGACGACTCAGTGCAGTGGATATATTTTGCTGAAGCCCTTTGTTGCATTTGGTAGACAAGCAATGAATAAGAACATGAAAGTAGTAACGCTGACTTCATAGGAACAAACTTCAGTCATAGAAGAAACTAGAATCAGGAAGCAATTTCTGGTTGTTTTGCCGTCATGACTCCTCAGATGTGTTTATTAATCGTTATACCATCGACTGATTGAATCAAGGGGTGTTAGATTTCAGAGAGAAGCATTTCATCATTCAGTTAATTAATCTGACCTAAAAATCGATGTATCGTTAATGCTTCCGCAAGAATCTGTTCTGATCCTGGATGTGGTGGATTCTGCGACTTTTCATTGGAACTTCAGAAAATTCCCCTCAAAGTTAATCATTACCCAGTAATTTGCCAGATTGTTATTTATATCGACATGTTTGCATGGAAGAAGACTCGGTGACCCGCAAGAGTTTGTGAAATAATATATCGAATGGTTATGATGTTCTGAAGGGATTACTACTGCCTATTCAACTTTGATCGTAATATTGATGTCGGAGGGAAATAACCAGCCAGTTTTTAACAAACTTGTCAGTTTCTTCGCTAGAGCCCACAATCTTTTTATTTTACGTTTATTAAGCATGCTTAATGAGTTTAATTAATATTTATCAGGATACCGTAATTTACTACTTAAACTGTTCTACAGATTTAGTATATCGAACTGAATATAATGTGTTTGAAGCGATGACCTCGAGTTGGAACTATATTTTCATGGCATTCAGAATCTGACTTAACGAAAAAGAATTGAATGTTCATCAAGTTCTTGCATCGGTCTTCATTGCAGTAATTCTATGGCGAATCTACGGTAATTTTGTATGTTAATAAGGAATGCTACTGTAATCCACTGAGTTTTCTCCATCTAGAGTTCGATGTGAAACCTCAGGATTGTTTAAACTTTGATTTTATAGCAAGTTAGCGATGGTTCAGAATGAAATTTCAGCAGCCATACCTCATACCTTTAAAGTAAGACAGAATGAACGTGTGAAGTTTCTCTTGGTTTTGTGCTTGAATTTGGATTAGCAGTGCTTTTAGCATTAATTAAGGGGTCATCTGAAAGTGATCTATTGATTGTAAACTCTTGTATTCATCACAAATCATTCAAAGAGTAATTGTGTCTCTGCCAGGTATCACATTCGGTGTTCATTAGTAAAGATAAAACATGTCTCATGGATTATTTTTGCACAGTGTAGTTTCTTAACTACATAAGTTTCTGTGCGCTTGACTGTAAGCCATATGAGTGACATTAGAAGTGGTGGATCTTAATGGCTTCTTAAATTCCATTCTAACCCAAAATGATAGGATATTTATTATTATGTGTGCACATACATATCAAGTGTCTCTTACCGACAAATATCGTAAATAGCTTCATTATCCACCAAAAATGTGCAGTCCGAATGTTCTAAAGTGACATGTGTATTCATCAAGGCATTATACGGTTCAACAACAGCCGTAGATATTTGTGGTGCTGGATAAACACAAAACTCCATTTTCGTTTTTTTCCCATAGTCATTACTTAGCCTTTCCATAAGTAATGATGTGAATCCAGATCCTGTACCTCCGCCAAATGAATGAAATATTAAAAAGCCTTGTAAACTACTACATTGGTCTGAGCATTTACGTATTGTATCCAATACTTTGTCGACGATATCCTTACCAATTGTATAGTGACCACGTGCATAATTATTCGCAGCATCCTCCTTACCAGAAATTAAGTTATCCGGATGAAATAACTGTCGATAAATCCCAGTGCGAATCTCATCTAAAAGCACAAAAGAAACACCGGATGATAAAGTAGTACAATATATATGATTCCTTAGTTTTAGATAAATGATCAAAAAGGGTAATTTTTCAGCGTACACCGAATACTAGTCGGATAAAACTGTCGTTGCCTTTATGTGAATGACAACTCGTGGACTCGCTGATCCGCTTAAATCTGTGCACAAAATGCACCATTTCTGTTTGTTACACTTCGGAAAAGCAAGCATAAAGTAGACAAACGAAATGGCAACTCAATACATGAAAGTGTTTGTGAAAAGGCCACAGTCTTGAAGGCTACAGTTTCTAAATATTGGTATTTAGCATAATAAAAACCCAGATAGGCAGCCTATACGCGTCTTGTTGACTCATACCAATAGTTAGTGAATTCAGATGTTGTTGTCATATTTTATTCTTACTATCTTGAACTCTTTTCGAGTGTAACTAGGCTTCAGTCAATTAAGGTAATTTATTTATTTCTTTGATTATAGCTTGATTCCACGCCGTATTTTCGGTACAAGTATGGAATTTTCAGCATGTGATATCGGTAGCCCAAATTTTGCAAGCCGACCATTGATATCAGGTTTGCGTCGGCGGGGGATCGAACGCCGGGCCATGTGCATGGTCCGTGGGAATCCTAACTGCTGTGCCACCGATGCGAAATGGTTAACCAAGCCTTATACATGTGGGTACCGAACACTGTTGTTAAAGCTACTCAATCTCATTAAGTGACTCCGTTCCTTACTTAAAACTAAGTGGCTGACGGTATCGTTTCTAATCACAACGCTCTGCACAACACGGTGGATTGAGTCGGACACTAATGAAGAAGATACTTAATCTATAAAAATCTTCCCCTTTCAACGGTTATTTCCCATAGTTGTATAGTATGGAGGGGCGGGACGCTGAACAGTGCATATACCATTCAACGCATAGGAGGACATTGAGACGAAGCCAGTTGGCAGTTCAGATACCACCTGAATAAAATACACAACAAGTAACGCGTCCAGTATAATTCTTCCAGTGTTGAAGAAACAAAGAGTGGTCAGCTGCTTCGAATAATCTGCTGTTATCTCTTTCTGTTGACTATTTTGATTAGGATCAATAAACACTTTGTAGATATTCTCGGGTACTTATTTGAAAATATATAGTAGTTTCAAAAACTGTCGTGTGTTAATTTGAATCAAAGTAACCGGAATGAATGGGTTGAGTTTGATCTACAGGACTTTGAATGATCATTGATGAGAAGATTACAATGAAGGAAAATGTTTCTTACGACTTTTGTCTTTCCTTTTAGTTTTTAATGGATCCAAATATCTACAAACTAACCAGAGTGTACAATTGTAGAATTCCTTAGACACTTAATTAACTAATCAAAAACACGACAGTCCATTATCACAAAGCCTTACCTATGACACTTGGCTCCAAATCGATAAAAACAGCTCGCGGAACATATTTTCCATTCAAGGTTTCACTAAAGAATGTTGCACATGAATCATCATTAGGAACTAGAAGTCTATTATTTTTCTTCATGTCACCGTCTGTCGGTATTCCATGTTCTAAACAATACAGTTCCCAGCAGGCATTTCCCATTTGAACTCCGGCCTGACCAATATGAATACTTATACATTCACGCTATAATACAGAATAAAATATAATGCTTTTAAGTATTTCTCATTAGGGGTCAAAAATAGGCACTTTCGTAAACTGCATGCAGATTTTTGAACATCAAGGAAAGGAAAAATAAGAATAATAGTATTCAAACTGAATATTGTACCATCTGGCATTATCCTAAATATAACATAGTCAAGTATGATCCTTTCATATTACACTTCAAATATGTCGTTTACTATCTCTTATTAAGATGTACAAGTCAAAAACTCATTTTGGTATTCGAAGCATGGTTTTCTTCAAATGACCGATAAACAGAATTTCAAGAATAAAGATATCCTAAACGAGGACAAATCATGTAGTTTCCATATCATATAACAGATATGCGTAAGAGAGCATTTTCTTTCCATAGTCGATGCTTGCGTATAAGATAAGCGTGACTTCTGGATGGATTCCATGCGTTGTAAGAGGGTATAGAGATGTGAAATAATAGTCGACATTAAGGATGAGTGAACTGATGCACTATTGTAATAATTTTCATGGTGGCTTATACTTTTGTACTGTACTGAGATGAATGTGAATGGTTTCAAAACTACTGAGCTGGGCTAGGCTAGGTGGTTGATGAGACAGCTTCCACATATTGAAACTGCCTCCACCTGGTTGCAGAATCGAGTGTGATTGATTGATGACGAGTGTTTGGCAGAACTCAATTCCACTTGATTTATGCATAATTCATACTGCACAATTTATAAAAAATTCGATAAATTTTAGTTCGATTACTGAAATATCATCACCGATTTGAATGTCCCCATCCCATGCAAATATAAGATATACTTTTGTCTCCAAGTTATACATAACATGAAGTATGCTGCCTTAAGAAATGCATATAGACGATAAATGTATTCCTAAAAATCAGCATCACCATCCAAGATGAGACTACGCAAACCTAGAAATCAAGATGAAGATGACAATGGACGGAGAGGGGAGGAGAGAAATGCAAGAGCAACACAAGCGAATTCGAGTAACATCCCAATGAAATAAATGTAGTGTGATAATTCAGCTCATCATGTATGAGTTCACAGCTGTCTAAGAGGTGGTGATAAACCCATCAACCATGTTGTTTTTGCTTTTGCTGATTTTGTTGTTTTTAACTTCCAAATCTACATTCCACTGACATCGAACAAAATCATCTACCTCCATTATATCATTCGGGCAAAGACTCATCGATTTCATTTATTTCTAAACGTTCTCTCACTCTCTTTTGATAGTCGAATCAAATGATGAGAGTAAACATCATGTTACACTTCAACTATTCCGACTACGAACCAACTTGCAGCTTCTTGTGAAAGAGGAAGTGTTGAACATTAACAATTTAGATATTTGTGATCAAGTTTCTGGAATTCAACTCAAAGCTTCTTTCCAATAAACTATTTCTGTCAATGGGAAAGTGTCATCTCCTCTCTACTCAGAACTACATCTTTGTAGTGATGACCGAAATATACCACCACAGAGCTGATAAAATGAATGAGTGATTGCCTGTTCATTGTTGTTCACTTGAGGCGTTTGTAAAATCAGTGTCCTGCATTGTGTTGGATTGAAATAGATAATTGAGATTTGTCAGTCGGCACTGATGTCTTTCAGACTATTCACACGCATGCACACACACACGCACACACTTTAACTATCATCGAAATCAATCCAGAGGAGTAGGTGAATTGATCAGGTCTTGTATTCACCGATTCGCGTAACAAGTTGACAAAACACTTCACTGACAACTTGATCATGCATCACTTAATATGTGTGATGTCTTTTTCACCGAGAAGTGTGTGCACTACAGACAGTCAACATTAAGTAAACGCCAACGCTATATCTACCACTAAGCGTTATGTTGAATTAGCGGCCTAGTATAAAATTCTACTCGACTGCAATGTCCAATTCTCACTCACATGTGACTGTAACAATTTGAAACAGGAGATTTCTTAAAAACGTCAACGCGGTGACCGAAAACCAATCAGTGTGACTGAATGTTTATCTCAGTAAGATGAGAAACCTAATCAGTAGTACTCGTAAGGTCACCAAAATGTAACACGCTTGAGTAGATAGATATCAGTGTGAACCAAGAACGCTTATTCTGAGTGAAGATAAGTGCTTTCAAGTAGAAATACAGAAATAAGAATAGAGATAAATTTAAGGACAACATGGATATCGAGAATATCTGATAATATTTGCTACACAATTTCATAGTGTGCTTGGTGGACAAAATCTAATGAAGTGAATTGATGGTGAGTGTGGGAAAACATCGAAACCCCATATAATTGAGAGGAGATTGAGATACGAATAAGTTCACTGGACGAGATTTCTTCACACACACACACACAGCAGAGATGCAGGTAGTTTTTGAATCATATCATTGAATGAATGAATATGATGAAGAGTTTATCCAAAAATAAAACTCACTGTAGGAGAAAAACATATGAAATAGTGACAGACATTTGGCGGTAGACGTTTTGGTTACATTACCTGAGCAACGCAGAGCCATATATGCAGGAAAGCCAGTAAATATTCACGCTTCTTTCGAGCTTCTCTTTATGCACTCCATTTAAGTATACTTAGGTGAAATCAGTGAAAGTTATCACTTCAACTGATAGTTGGGTAATCTTGTAAATGAGTTCACACGCATTTCGACAGGCAGAAGGTAACATTGAATTTTCCACCTAACACGCAAGCATTATCACAGCGCCTGTAAATGACGGACATCAGTTCTGCCATAATGACGGAAGTTGTAGGGATTTCTAGATTCAGCTATGTACATTTGTGTTCTAGGATCTCTTTGATGAAGGCGGTTGAATCCATTTGACTTACCGACGAATCTGATCAACTGAATCTCTTATTCTCATCACACTGTGGGCGAACATAAGATTTCATTATGACTCACAACACTACCAGAATTATTTCCTCCCTAGCCTATTCATGTTTTAGAGTTTCCATTAATTTGCAAGAATTTGAAGGTGAGCAGAAGGTTGGAAATGTGTAAGAATTTACGTCTTCATTGCGAAGGGAACAGCTGTGGAGAATTGTGGAGAATCTGCGTTTCGGAACCTACTTCTCCTTCAATAAGCACATCTTGTTGAATCTAATTCCCAATTACTCACAGCTCTATCTTCTCAAACTGTTTTCGTCGTTTTATTGTTGCATCAAAGTGTTTGACAAGGACAGTAATTTCGAACAAGTATTTGTTGGAAAAATATTTAAATTATTGATATCTGTTCGTGTGAGTATATCACTGGTTGACTGGCTTAACCAGCAGGATCAAGGCAAATCTACTTCAGCCTGGACAATTGGCTGGTATCATCAGCCATCACACAATGTATGAAACTCATATACTGTCACAACGAAAACCACCTGTGGCTCCCTGAATTCGAGCCACATTCTGACAATCAAGTAGTGATGAGCCAGAGTAGTGATAGTGTTGGATTAGTGGAGTGCTTCTGGTGTTATATGGCAGAAAGAGAAAAGCTTGTTATGGCCGGAAGTGCAACCTGATGGATTATGATCGAACATTATCTTGGTGCGCTGTCTAATCTGTCCTAATCGCACGTCAACAACATCATCAGCCAGAATAACATGTCCGCTTCACAAAGACAAAAGAAAAGCTGGACATCGATGAGAGCGCTTTCACCATCTCAAACAACAGTCGAACTGCTAGACAGTAACTCTGTGTGTATACAGTAGAATGACTTTGAAAGCGCGGTAAGTGATCGAGTGATGCAGTAAAAGTATTGACATGCAACAGGAATCAAGCGATCCACACGGAGTGAAGAAAAGAGGGCTCCCACCAGGGTGCGGTAGCTCGTAAATAGTTGTTTCAAGGTGAAAGGCAAAATTGGGCCAAACTAGGTGTGTATGAAAAACCTGAGTTTTCACCACAATACAGTCAGTTGTTTACGGTTGGTTAGTAAAATATGTGAATAATGCCTTATATTGGTGTGTCGGAAGACTGACAATAAAGAGGTAGCATCACACCTTGCATAAAAATCTAATAAACTTGTAGTGTGTTACATTCACATTTGCCTGGTAGAATGATGATTTAAGCATCGCTTTGCTTCATCTATCGATTGACAGTAGGGTGAGTTGTTTCGCATTTGTAGCCAGAAAGAAAATCAATATTGCAGTGTGAAGACATAGACAAGTGCTGATATCACTACCACATTGAATGAGAAGCCGCATGATCCAACAGCTTACGAATAAAATGTGAAAGAGTAATGAAACATAACAATGAAACAGAGTAAACTGACAGTTAGTTTACCTTTGGAGCAAAGGGATCCGACATTTCAGCTTTTTAGGGTTGAAATCGATTGTGTATTCCGTGATGAGCTAGTTGAGTAGATGACTGAATGTAGTAATGCCTTTGCTAATATGAATACTGATTATAAGATAATCAACTATGCAAAATGATTTCCTTTCTCTGTTTTTTCTTGTTTCGTTCTCTTCAGAGAATAAACTTTACTCCAACAAAAATGAAACTAATGGTAAATAAATAGAATTAAATTTTTCTATATTTTTTTATTTATCTATCTGTCAGTATGTAAGTCCATTCAACTCAGTCTATATAAGCATATTTATGCAGTTATAGCAGCATAGATCATTGAATATGCACAAAAAGTGGGCTTCACTAAAATAATCAATAATGTATTAGTGAACTAAACGACATTTGAAATATGAGTCGATATTATATACAGGAGTGAAAGACACACAATAACCTATACACGAAGTAGAGGTTTGGACGAGTTGTAGTGAATTATTTCAGTTTTGTTGAAATTTGTGAGGAATTAGGTTAACATATGCCTACTTTGCAACCGGTGTCCAATGACTGTGGAACTACTCAATGAGAACTTGAATAGAATTGATTATGATGAAAAATGTATTCTGTTGACTGCTCTCATCTAACCACCAGAATAAATGGAATAAATATTACATTATCGTACATCCAAACATTCTTTATCTTGATAGAATTGTCAAAGAGTAACGCTCAGTCACAGAGAGCTTGAAAGAAGGAATCGGAAAAAAAATAAATAAATTCCACTAGTTTTACCGCTGTAGTGGATTATTATCATACAATCCTTGTGAAATTTCTTCGTCTCAACAGGTGGAGATTATTATGCTGGGAAAAGAAATCAAAGATTCCGGTACTATTTCTGCACAAATCACAATGGATAGAAGAATAGCAGCGAGATATTAGGATTTGTTGTAATTCAACCAAGTTGTGAAATGTGTTGGATGCAACAGATAGAAACACAATACTGATACTTCTTGACATATATGTGTATATACCGAGAGAGATGAAGATTGGTGGAACAAAGCCTCAGGCGAACGGTGAGTGTGGTCGCGTCCCAAGATCTCGAGTGGCGTCCAAATCGGAAATCACGAGTACGGCGTCTATGTTTAGACGACCCGTGCTGCAGTCAAAAACCGAAAGAACGCTATAAGAACAAAATTCAAACATTTTACAGGAACAATTGTCAAATTGGAGAGCTGAATAGTAAGGGATTCCCGAGTCTCAATTCCGCTTCAGTGAATCGAGAAGACATGAATTGTAGGAGAATTGAAATTGCCAGCTATTAGTAGGAAGGAGTTGGTGATCGATGTCTCAGAGAAATACGCTGACAGTCAAATGAGACTAGCGTGTTATTGAGAGCATCAGGTTGTGGTGTACCATTTCGTCTAACAAACATTGATAGAACTCTCGACACGGAAGTAGCATGAGGCTCAGTATACACAACAGTGTGCATCACGCTTCAACAATGCAAGATGCGAGCGTATCTTCCAGCGCAGGTTGAAATGCAGAATTTATAAACTGTCAGTGAGGAAGTATAAATTATCAGATGTAATGCAGGTGATTCATCAGTAGCGAAGGATGATTCTGATTACACTAGTGAGTTGACGAACATATCCGATCTGAGGCATAACATGAAACAGGGAGCTACAGTCACATGAAATTAATAGGTGGACAGGTGATCTGGTAGTCGGAGCGAAATCATTTCCTAATAATTTGAAATGGATTAATTCAACGCCAAACACTGACGATTCGAGATAATCTCAAATCTAATCCCATATCTACGAAGACTTCCGAACAAGTCCAATCCGTTCCAAAGAAAATGCTTCTGCCTTATCTGGAATTCGAAGGTGACATCGAAGCAGAAATCCTTCGCAAACGTCTCTCCAAATCGCTGAGGAAAACATACTTCGCCGCGAGCCTACGACTGACGTTTTCCTGCAAGAAACTGTTCAGCCAGAACGCGAAAGACAAGCTGTCGCATTGGGCCACCTCAAAGTGCATATACCAGTCTACTTGCTCTTGTGGAGCTGAGTACGTTGGCCGTACCATGTGCCAACTTGAAAAACGCGCTAGTAAACAATACCCAGCCTGGTTAGTAAAAGGAGACCAAAAGCGTGTATACAGTTGAGTGACAGAACATCTGGTCAATTCAGGACATTTAGCGCCTTTCGAAAAATCCTTCAAAGTAATATACAAGATCCAATCAAACTTATCAGAGGGAGTGAAATCAAGACATCTGAGCATAGCCGAGGCGCTAGCTATACAAAAGCTCGAACCCACGCCTTGTATCCAAGAGAAATACGTCCAACCTGTGTCCCTGCCACTGCCATCATAAACAGGTATTTTTTTAGTAATGACCATCCCATCGCCTTTCCCACCTAAACTCCCTGTTTATTCATGTTATTTTAAGTTTTTCCTAGTCCCTGTTTACGCTAACATATTTTCATACCCGAAATTCGTGTTTATTTTGTCATTTTACTATTTCTACATATTTAATCTCTGATTGCATAAACAATTATTCATCACATTACTTTCTTATCCAAACATCCTGTCTATTTTGTTATTTCTACATTTCTAACCCCTAATTGCACAATGTCAATCATCTTAGATATTATGACGCTACTTTATTTGAGTTTTATCCGTCCCCCTGTTTATTATGGCATTCTAACTCCTAATTGTAATTTTTATAAATTTGAACCTTAACCGGAAATTATTCTGGAATTTTCCCATCCATTTGATATAAATACACGAATGTACAGCCTAGATGATGACTTCGTCGAAAAAAAATTTTCATCGCTGCAATTTTCGTTTTAATAAATCCTATGACCCAATGTGTATATTCCGTGATTCGTTAGATAGAATTCATGAATATCCGTACTACAGTGGGAAATCACTTTGTAGGATGGAAGATGGTAGGCGTTTTCAACCTGAATGCAGTGTTTCTCCATCGAAATATTGACGAATGAGTTATATTCGAACCTGGAAATGCTCAAAATGCACAGTGAGTAGGAAAGGCTGACCACCGCGATACTGTAAATTTGCTCGAATGTCGCTATCCAATTATTCTCATCACACTGTGGGCGAACATAAGATTTCATTATGACTCACAACACTACCAGAATTATTTCCTCCCTAGCCTATTCATGTTTTAGAGTTTCCATTAATTTGCAAGAATTTGAAGGTGAGCAGAAGGTTGGAAATGTGTAAGAATTTACGTCTTCATTGCGAAGGGAACAGCTGTGGAGAATTGTGGAGAATCTGCGTTTCGGAACCTACTTCTCCTTCAATAAGCACATCTTGTTGAATCTAATTCCCAATCACACACATCTCTCTCTCACGTTTGAATATGTTGTGCGGTGCATTGCTTTCATGTCGACTGGTTGAGCTTAACTAAATCCCAGTTTTTGTAATAAACACTTCTAGATCTGCATCAATTGACTCAGACTTTCCAAGTGAATCCGAATCACGCTGGCATTTTTTATACTTCACTCACATCGATGTTGATGAAGTTTCGTACGATGAACTGTTGATCCATGAAGCTTTGGAGTGTCTGCAGGAAACTTACACTCAGTCACTTTCCGCCGATGATAATAATATTAAAAACAATGCTGACTGACAGCACGAAAGATAAGTTCCCATATGCGACATCTGAATGTATATTTACTCACAGTCGTGATATCCATAATCAGACTGTTCCCAGATGACAAGCTTTCTATTATGGTATTGTGTCAAGCGGTGTGAGGCTGAATTCCACCAAATATCTGGTCGTTAATTCCACCTGGAGACGCGGGTGTGATTTACGTGAACGGTAGAGGATTGAACAGTGAGCTGAAGGGGTGCAGGAAGTACTTGGACAAAATCCAACACCATGAAGTTTATGGAGAGAGCATATGATTGACATACGGATAAATCAGTCATAACAAGCAATTGCCACTTGAGAATATAGTATAGATCGACTTCCACAAATCAACGAGATAATCCACATATATGGTTCGGAAATGGGAGGTGTCAACTGTTAGAAATACTTCAGCAGATTTTGAAGAGGCTACGGACGTGGACGAGATGTTCCTGTAACCAATCAACGTCATTTCGCTTCTTCCATTCCAGCGAAGAATACGCTTCCTATTCATGTCGCTTGTATTTCTAATGTGTATTCCGTGCGTTCAAGTTTCTGTATCATTTCGATTGGCTATCTGGTGTAGGGTAGCCAGCCCACCCCCGACGTTCTCGCTTTACATGGATTGAGGACCAGGTAGATAACTAGCAAGCCAGATAACTGAGCGAGGTTGTATTCCAAAACGTCGCTGATGTGTGAGTTAGGAATAAGAAGGACTGCTTATCTATCGAACGAGGTTCAGGTATATGGCAGTATTCAGAGACCTAATGTCAGTAAAGCGTTTGAGCATTGTGGAATAGATCAAATAAAGTATAATTATATTTCAATAGTTTACACGCAATGATAATGTTTGTATTTGGTAATATTTCGAGCAAAATTACTGCCCATGTTCACACCACAGTTGGTATTGTTTTGTATTCTAATTCACACATTTATGATTTCTACTCATATATATATATATATATACATGTATATATATCGTTGTTTCGTTCATTCGTTTTGTGAATTCAGAATTATATTCGAGGATGTTGACAGTTGTGGTGCCGAGTCACCCTTGTCACATGTATGGGGTGTGAGGTTAATGGATATAGATTCTGTTATTAATTCACGTTCCGTTTGTTCATATTAGTTTTTAGAATACAAACATTGTTCCAATCGATATCCTTTTTTCATTTTACAAATCACTTCTTCGGAATAATTCAAAGTCTTCACTCTCCAACCTTCAGCATCTTGGTGAGTGAGCAATTGATGAAGTTAATGAGAAACCACGGAAAATACCTATTGAGTCATGAAGAGATTAAAAGACAGATTCAGCGAAGAAAATTTTCTTTATCGCCGAAATCATCTTCAGAGGCTGTACAGTCGTATTTATACTTAG